CCGCCGAGTTTCTTACTCGCAGATTCCGAGTCTCTCCTGCGTCGCCCTTTTGGACTCGTGAGTCGTGACAGCAGATGCGTAGAGACGGCCGTGTATAATTCGGAGGTACGCATCAATCATTTACATACAAAAATAGAAAAGATCGGACGTATGGTCTTCAAAAGTTGTTCTCAGCTGCATTACCCCTCCTCGTGATTGCTATGTAAGGCGACTGGTCATGCGCACGAGTCTGCGCTTTTACCAACAGCACACGCGGATTCAATCCCAATTTGGCCCCTCCTCACAAGGTCACTCGCTTACGGTGTAAGCACCCCCGCAGCAATATTTGCATCACTGAAGGCGACATTTGCAGATTCCAAAGCAAAGATATGTTTGTAATGCATTTGATGGTGACTCTATGATAATACAACAGGACCTTTTTTGATACATAAAGAATAGAAAAATATGTTATCTTGAAGCAATGTGCAAAACGAATTGCTCGTGGAAACTAAACGGCAGCCGTCATGAAAGATGTGAAATATGCATCAAGGTCTTCAACGTGATCCAGGGGCGCAATGGCTCCAACATAGCCATCGGGGCGAACAGCAACTATTGCGCCCTCATCGCCTACACCATAATACGAGTAGCCTTTCCCCCCGAAGCTACCGGTGACATCAATGTCATCGATAAATACCCTGAGAATACCCCTATCAATATCATCACACACATATCATAAATCAAATACTCACTTCGACCAGTGAGAGCGAAGAAGCATTGGGAACTGCAAGAAATTGAATCCTTCTTTTCGACCTTTGCTGATGGTGATGATGTCAAATCGTGAGTTTTCAGCGCCCTTGCTAGACGTCGCGTAACGGTTTAGGAAGCTCTCGGGTTTCTGCATGGTAGCAACCATCGACTCAACCCTCGCCTGTTGAAGTGGCTCGCTGAAGTCACCAGTGAAAACGAGCAACTTGAAGCGGAAGTCCGCAGGAAGAAGGTCCTGGATTTCAAAGGGCCATGCGTCTGCAGCGCGGATGAATTTGTATGGAGGGAAACGTTCGCCAATCACTACACCACTGGCTAACTCTTGGTTTTTGTCAAGTGTTGCAACCGAAGGGTCATAATGTACCCCAATGCCACTGGTGAAGCCTCCGAACTGTTTAAATATCCTATAACCCCGTTGCATTAGTAACACGGCAACGCTGTTGGTAGCATATTCTCACTCCAAGAAATGCTCGGGCGCAACCCCATGGCTGTTCTCCTGGCTCAAGGGCTTCCCAGAAAAGAGGGTGGAATACATTTTGTCAAATACGATGAGGTCCAATGCGAATTTACGGCGCTCTGATTCGTACTAATGGCGATGCGTGAGCAGATAGTCAAATGGGTATGCGAGAGCGTACCGTTGACAAAAGCGACAGATCTGCCCAACCACGAACCACTAAGGCGATCTTCCATGCTATAAAAGCCCATTGGCTTCAATCGACGCCGCAGGAAACAGGAAACACACCTAGATTGTGTGCATCGCTCACACCTGCGTTCATTCCTTGCCCTGAAAATTCCATTGTAAGCAGACTGATAGGGAAGGGCCAGATTTAAGACACTTGCCTGCTTTCGGAGAGTGTGTATGACAAGCATCGCCGACGATAAGTACTCGGTTTTTGACGGAAAATTGTGAGGCCACTCGTTGCCCGACTTAAGCGACGTGTCAAACGAACATTTGATGGCAAATGGGTCAGATGCGTACTGATATATAGTGTCCACCACAAAAACCCAGTCGTCGGGGAAATTTTGTAAGGGCTAAACGATTTTCGGGCAACCTAAGGGGGATATTGATGATTGTTGATCCATTGAACGGGTATCACTTACTTCAAGCATTTCATCTGGACCCATTCTATCTTTATCTACTCTACCTGTTGCTGGATCGATGATATCCTTGTTCTCTAGTTGCACATACACGCGAAGGCGATCTTGTTCTCGAGGTACAAGAAGAATTGAGCCATTGTTGGAATGCATAAGACACTTATTCCTAACATCCGGGAAGTCCGTGTCAGGCACCATGTCCATGACACCCCAGATGAAATCTATCAATCGAGTTTAGGCTTGCTGTAAACCCTAACTGATATAGATGCTTACCAGATTGTTCGCCATCCATCGTAATATCAAATTGTTTGCGAACCCATGAGTGAGCGCCTATAGGGAAAAATGATTAGGACGGCCAGATGAATATCTTCGGAACGTACCATCAGCTCCAACAACATATTTAGCATGGACAATCTCTTCTTGTAGTTGACCCTCAGGGGCATTTAGTTTTTGGAGAACAACGCGAACAGGATGCGATGCAGGGTCCATCAACACATGTTCGTCCTTGCAGATCTCTATCGAAGTTGGTAACGTTGACCACTCAACCTCGACACCAAGCGGTTTCATGGAATCTATAAAAATAGCTTGAATGGCTCCTTGATGAAGTGCACACTGCATTTCGTTCAGCTTGTATAATTTCGCTTGAAATAATGAGCATACCTCGAATGGGTATCTTGCAGACGGAGCTACTACATCTTGTGTTCTGCTGGTGAGCTGATGGCCGTCATTCATTGAATATTCCTCGTTGATCGCAAAAAGTTACGAACCTCGATACCGCCGGACGGGGAAGGGTTATAGAATGCCTAAAAAACCATTAAGTTTAATCGGCCAAGTCCCTGTTGAAGGACAGCCCCTGTTGAAGGACATACCGCTTGGTGGACTTGAACAGATTCCTTCAAAAGGCGCTCTGCAATGCCATAGCTCTGTTATGGATCATTAGTCAGCCAGCATTGAGTAAAGAAGGGATCTCACCTGGAAAACTTCAATAGTACGAGGTGAAAGTCCATCAGCCTGACCGGCGGCTACTCGAGCAGCCCTGATGGAAAATCAAGTAAGAAGGAATGCTAGCCACCAAACTCACATACCTTTTATCGATAACCCGAACATTCACTTTCGCATTTGCCAGAGCGTTCGCACACATGAGGCCAGCAGGGCCAGCCCCAATAATGAGAACATCGACTTCAGAGTGGGGTACGACGGGGACAGGCATTACAAGATTGTGATGGAGAAAAAATGAAAATGTAGAGCGTCTTTATACAGAGGGTGCGAGTGCGGGAATCCCCATCCTTAACTGAAGCAGGGCGCTGGCGCCCGGACTTCCACGGGAGAGTAAGCAATAATCAAACATGATTGTAGCACTGCTACTAGTGCCAAGTCAGCTACTTGCGCAAATTAAGATCACACTCGCACTCACCAAAGTCATCTGATACCGAAGGCCCGGATACCAGGGTGTAACTGTAGAGGATCATAGCCACAATGTCCAGAGTGCTCGTGAGAGCAAATGACCAGAGGCAGGATAAATATATGAGCCTATCTCACAGTTCATGCTTCAATCCACATTTGCAAGATGTTTGGATAAAACTATGTGGGCGATCAAATTTCTGCCTCCTACACATGGCAAATACCGAATCGATTGAGGAGTTCATCAAATGTGTAGTTGTTCACAATAAATTAGATGCATGTAGCTCTGATGTGGTTGATTGCTGAGTTTCTACTGGGGAGTCGATCTGGCAAAAAAATATTTGACTGAATTTTGGGTGATGCTTCGCTACTCCGAGTTTCATGAGCTCCTAGTTTGTTAAAAATAAAAATAAAAAAGTCCTCACCAACACTGTACTAGTCAATTATCCGCCCGGCCGACCTCACCACAGGCCACGGACAAACGGAGGGATCAGAAAATAGACCCGGCTTCAGTGAGACTTTATGGGAAACACTGTGGCATACATAATCCGCGTGCAGAAGGTTGAGCCTGAAATGCACATGGTGTGAGCTGAGCCGCATGCAATATGGGCAAATCCAAGTGATGATGGATGTATATGATTTTGCGTATCAACGCTCTCCTGCTGATACATCATCTCTTTCCCAATAAACATGCCACTGGTAGCCCGAGCACTGCCAACCTACTGACAAATTGAGTCACAAGGATTAGCTGCGATTACCGGCAGCCGCGTCACAAAATATATGCAAAGTTCTCTGAGAACCCACCGAGATGAATCTATGGCCATCCTGTGCAGAAGTCCCCTTCAAGATTTATCCTAATCAGTGGAGCTACGTCGAGGCTATTTCGGCGAAAAGGAAGCATAATGGTTCTCGACTCTTGAGCACGGTGGGAGAGCTTGACCCAACGCACCAGGAGTGTATGTGCAATTCTTGCCGCATCGAGATAAAAGCATTTGCTATATGAGACTAAGCATCAACAACTTCTCGAACGCAATTGCGACAGTGAATTTCACGAAGGGAAGCTCGATTATGTTCATGTGGCGACGTCAAGCTTACGTGAGCACATTCTAGTGATGACTCGTCTACAATATACTTTAAGGACATCCCGCGGAACCGCAACAACTATTTTACAACACGATACGCTTATTGGTATGTCAGAAATACTTTCCTGATTGAATTTTGTGTTCTACTCGCTTGTTTATTGATCATCAACTAGACCCGCAGCAATTCTGAGGCGCTGACTTGAACTTTGAATCTGGATAAACATATCATCCTGCAAATAAAAATATTATGTACCCCGTATTGTTCTCAATAGGCTGGTACCATCAAGACCGTAAGTGACAGCACATTCGGTGAGAGATTGGACTTGACATGAAGTGATGTCCAATATCCTTCCGTGAGATCAATCATCCTGACCTGGATGGTACAACGAATGTCAATACAACAAGTGATCAGTACAACAGAGAAGTATGGAACAAGTACTCTAACACACACAACCCTCTTCGATGTGATGGAGCAGTGGAGGACCGAGATTGTTGTGTGTCACAGGCTTGCCCGGAAGCGCCCGCGGCGCGCATGGATAACCCCAAACACTCCATCCGAGTCGAGTCGGATATGACACGTAGGAAAAACTAGACTTACGGAGATAACCATGAGCCAGTTATCAAATGGTGAACACGTAGGCACTTACTTACATCCGAGAAGTTGAAGAAGTCTTCAAACTACACTTCTCCATAGAGAACACATTGAGAATATTCATCTTTTTCGACACCTTCTTCAGTCAAGAGAATATGCCGAACCTGATCACAAAGCAAGAGTGCATTTATGTTAAAGCGTCATGGTGTACATGCACATACCTCATCAGGTGGGTTAAGACCAAACGAAGAGGCTCTCTCCCAACGCTCAAGACGTGACATACCAACACACGGACCGTACTCGTAGGACCTAAAAAAAGCTAAACATCGATCTAATTCCCTAGATCCAAAATTTACATACATGTCAAACACGCGGAGTATCTGATGGATTCTATTCTGCCCTTCCGAATGGACTAAACATATGTTCCCGTTTTAACCTTGTGAACGATAGACGCATATAGCTCACTCACTCGGTTCAAGGTTGCCCATCTTTTCTCGCACGCGTCCATAGTGTTTGCGGTAGGCCTTGCCCGATACATCTAATGTCGGCCGTTGTCCCACGGGTTTAAGAGCAGGAGGATTATCCTTTAGCCTTTTGGCAGGGCTGGATATCGATGCTTTCGTGGCGTTGGGAGTTCCACTTCGCTTCACAGAAGCTGGCGAGTACTCCTCTTCTGAAGATATCTCCAGCACGGCGTCACCGTCCTGCTCGTTGTTTACCTCCAAGTCTATTGCGTCTTCAGCTGCATGCTTTTCAATCAAAGGGGATGACCGTCGTGGTAGAGGCCCTTTCGCCTTAGTAGTGGTGTGGGAGTTTGTGCGCTTTACAGAAAAGGCTAAGGTCCCCTGTTTAAGGGCCGGGGCACTATTGTGTCGTGAGCTTGATTTCTTCGTAGAGGACATTGTGGACTTGGTTCGAATGTAAGAATAGTTGACAGGGGGCCGGTTGACTTGGCATTCAGGATGCCGCTTTGTCTTATCGATTACGTATATCAACTTTCCAACGGCCGACTAGCTCAGTTGGTTAGAGCGTCGTGCTAATAACGCGAAGGTCTTGGGTTCGATCCCCACGTTGGCCATGATTTTTGTCTCTAGCACGACATAAAATAATGTTTTGAAACTCGAGTTCGTGTGCCAGCGATGAGAGTCCTGGTCAGGGGTTCGCTATAATTTTATGTACGAGAGGGTCGCTAAGTTTTATCGAGTCAAGTTTAAGCAGTGTCGCCACTCAAACGATCATATTTTTGTCCAAGAAATCTGATCAGCCAAGCTGATCCCCGCGGAGCTCGCAGTGCTAGCGCAATGTCTCACAAATTCAAGTCCGACGAAATCCAACAATACGAAAAAAAATTCTCATATAATGGAGCCACTCAATGAAAGTCATGCGGCCTCCCCGAATGAAAATGGAAACTAGCCCCTTGCCCTCCGCCAAACCCTCCTCCTCCTCCTCCTGCGCCGCCAAACGGCCCCCCACTAAACCCACCCTGAAACTGACTAAATATCTCGGCCAAATCAGCCGTATTAAACGCCCCAGCGCCACCCATCCCACCCTCCGTCTGTCCATCCTCGTCTTCGCCCATGTCGTAGCGTTCGCGGCGTTGAGGGTCGCTGAGAACTGCGTGTGCTTCTACTACCAGTTTGAATTTCTCTTCGTCGCCTCCTTTGTCTGGATGATGTTTGAGGCTTTCACGTCTGTATGCTTTCTTGATGTCGAGTTCGTTGCAGTCTCTCGCAATGCCTGGGAAGTAACAATCGATACATATTACCTATTTCTTGAAAAGAAAAAGACGCACCGAGAATGTTATAATAATCCTTCGTCTTACTCCTCTTAAGTGCAGCCTCCGCTTTCTTAAGTTCGCTCCTCAGCGCCCTAACATCGGCGTCTACACCCTCAAACTCTGCTTGTTCCATCGACGCTCTGAAATCGGCGATTGCAGCGTCATATTTCTCGAGATGGAGGTTGATGCGCGCGCGCGTGCGGAGGGCTTTGAAGGAGGTGGAGTAAAGTGTGAGAGAAGCTTCTGTGTCTAGGAGTGCTTCTTCGTATTTATCAAGCTGAGAATGATGTGAGAATGTGGTATGAGTGAGACGTTAGAGAAGACATACCTTTACGAGAGTCGTAGCGCGATTTGAGAGAAGGGTAGCGCGAATCTGTCCGCCTTTGCCTTCTTCTTCGATTTCGCCTATTCGCTGAAATGAAGTATGAGTATGAGCCTGAGTTATTGAAGTAAGAAGGGACCTACATCGAGCGCTTCTGTGTATCGTGCGATTGCATCTTGGAGTCTGCTACCTTTGAAGGCGGTGTTTCCCTCCTCCTTAAGACGCTCTACGTCTTTTACGCGCTTGCGCAGGCGGTGGGCAGGCTCGTGTCCAGGATCGAGGCGAAGCGCCGAAGCCACGTGTTGTAGTGCTTGGGATAGCTTACCACTGAGGAAGAGCACGAGACCACGGTGTGTAAGTACTTCTGGTGAGTTGGGTTCTAATCGAAGAGCATCACTGAAACACTGTTAATGTCCAGAGATCTGTGGTGATAGGGTCAAACTCACTTTGCAGCAATGTTGGCAGCATCCCAGTTCCCTCTAGAGAGCTCGAGTTCGACTTTCCATAGCCGCCACTGAGTTGGTATCTCGCCGCCCTCAGCCTCGATGCTTTGTAGACATTTATCTAACGCAAGGCGTGCCATGCCCCATTCCTTGCGTGTGCGGGAAGAGGTGAAGGTACGCAAGTGAGCTTCTAGTTCGAGGACTTTGTCCCTCAGTTGTGCAGCAGCAAGATTTGTAGGTTCAAGATCGAGGACCGAGCGTAGTGTTGTTAATGCAGGCTCTGATAAACCGAGTGCGAATTGACAACGTGCGAGACGGATGAGAGTCTTTGATGATGGTTCTGAGGATTGGAGTGTAGCTGCTTGTTGGCAGTCTGATAGTGCGGAACGGAAACGCTTCAAAGCCATGTAAGAGGCTGCGCGATTAGTGAAATATGCTGGTTCTGTTGGTTTGATATCTGGAAGGGGGTTATTCTGTGAGTTGCAAAGGAGATGTAGTTATTTTACCGATAGCTTTGGTATATAGCTCGATAGCTTCTGTATATTGTTTTGCTTTGAAGGCTACATTACCTTGCTCTTTTACGTCATCTGCACAAGGGCCCTCAGGCTTGGGGATGGAAGGTGAGGAAGGACTAGGCTCGGGAGGAGGTGGATTTTTGCTAATCAAGGATGAGATGGCTGTCAATTGCGAGTGAATGAAGCGAATTAAACCATACTTTATGCCATTTGCATTGGCAGCAGCAGCCTGAGCCTGCTTTTTCTTTGCTTGAGTCTTCTTTTTGGTCATAGTTAACTTGTTACAATAAAAAATTGAATAAAGTGAGAGAGTATTAAGTCACGTGTCAAGTTTATGTCTTGACCATGACCAGTAACATGCCAATAGTATCACCACCAACGCCAGCTCCGTCTCCTCGTCCAATACCCCAATACAACCCTTCATCCGAATTCTCAACTCTGTTAGGTCCCGCCTCACGTAAACAATACCTCATATCAATACTGCATGAATGTTCCCCAGCAGAACTACGCTTCCTTTCCCAAACAATCACCCCCATGCTCAAACGCGATGTCCTAACAGAACTACCAGCAGAACTTGCACTCCACATCCTATCTTATGTCGACGACCCATGCACTCTCGCACGCGCAAGTCAAGTCTCTAAACGCTGGCACGACCTCGTCGCAGATGACTGGCTCTGGAAGGTCTTATGCGATACATACAGCTTCAGAGCAGATACAGAAGACAAATCTGCTACTAATATATACCAAGACGACGAATCTTGGGACGAGATCGATAAATTCACTTCAAATCCAATAAACCCATGGCTCACAGCGCGAGATCGACTCAAACGGCAAGAACTTACTTCCGTATCCCACTGGGGTCCATACTCGGATGATCTTTTACATCCAAGAACTCAGTTTTCTCATCAGCAATATTTCAGGCGGGCTTATGGTACAAGTACGTCGCTCCTGCCACACCTGTATCCTCACTAATTCAATATCTAGTGCTCAATCTGAGAAAGGGCGGTAGCATCCTCCGCGCTCACCGTATGCCAATCCCAACACCAGACAGTGGTGTAGTCACATCCGTAGCCCTTGATACCGAATGGGTAGTTGTCGGCCTAGCAAACTCAAAGATCCATTTATTCAGCGCAATCACAGGCGTACTCAGCCGAACACTCATGGGTCACGAACTAGGCGTATGGGCAGTCCATCTCGTCTGCCGCGGCGGTTATTGGGGTCGCGGAGACATGGATGAAGACGGATACCCGGACGACGCAGGCGATCCAGTCGTACCCGCAGCCCTGAAAACGGCACTCGGCATCGACAGGCGCAGGCGAATGCGATCCTCAGCGAGCGTTGGAGACGACTCTTCTAAACCCAGCGATATCTGCTGTACGAGCGAAGGATGGGGCCAGCCAAACTCTATCATTGTCAGTGCTAGTTGCGACAAGACGCTTCGCGTTTGGGACGCCACATCTGGGTATGTTCCTGCGTTCGTCTGGTTCTGGCTATGTGCTTATGGGCGCTTAGACATTGCATTTACGTCCTTCGTGGGCATACTGCCACTGTCAGATGCGCCCGAGTACTACACAACCGCCCGATCGCAGTGACAGGTTCTCGAGACTCTACCCTTCGTGTATGGAACATCCAAAAGGGGGTCATGCTCCGTGTACTGCACGGCCACACCGCGAGTGTAAGATGTCTTGACGTTTGTGGGAACCAGGTCGTCAGTGGTAGTTACGACACTACATGTCGAGTGAGTCTTATTTCCATAGCAATGTGCATATGATTTTGACGAGTTGCAGATATGGGACGTCGACACAGGTGAATGCATACGAGTCCTCCGAGGCCATAGCCATCAAATCTACTCCATCGCGATCGATGGCAACTTCGTCGCTTCAGGGGGTATGGACACCATCGTCAGAGTATGGGACGCAACCACAGGGTATGTCCCCTCCCTTCCTGACACCCTCACATTCACCCATTCACCCATAACAGAAACTGTGTCGCCCAACTCACAGGCCACACCGCCCTAGTCTGCCAACTCCAACTCAGCACCACCACCAACCTCCTCGCCACAGGCGGCTCCGACGGCCGAGTCATTACCTTCTCCCTTCGCTCATTCACCGCCCTTCAACGTCTCGCCGCACACGACAGCAGTGTCACTTCTCTCCAGTTCGACACGAACTTTCTCATCACGGGTGGGAACGACGGCCGCGTACGGGTGTTTGAGACGCAGACTGGGGCGTGGGTGCGCGATCTGAGTGAGCGGTCCGAGAGCGTGTGGAAGGTGCTCTATAAGAAGGGTGTGTGTGCGGTTATGTGTAAGAGAGCGGGGAAGACTGTTATGGAGATTTGGACTTTTAAGCCCAAAGAACGATGATTTGTTTATTGAATACTCGATGTAGGAGTCGATGTACGATGATATAATTTTGTGTGGAGTATTACTATCAGCGATTAATTGGTTTCGTGTTGGTTGGTTTTGATTTGGTAGATGAGCAAAAATTTATGGCCAACGTGGGGGTCGAACCCAAGACCTTCGCGTTATTAGCACGACGCTCTAACCAACTGAGCTAGTCGGCCGATGATATTACATCCACCACAACATATTTCAGTTAGTACATATCACATGACTTGTGTTAGTATGCATTTACCAAATCAAGCTACTAGATGGTCACGCGGGTTCGTGTGTCTCATGGGTTCGTGTTTTCATTCTAGCACATGCAATTCTACACAGAATCCTTCTGTATGTTACATATGGGTTCTCCCCAGCATAATACACATTGTCATATTTTTCTTGTGAAAAAATTCCAAGTGGTTCTCGTGCCAGGGCTCAGTTTATGGTGCTAGAGGCTAGTTTTACACATAGAATGCACACTCCAGCAAGCATATCATCACGGAAAATTCTGAAATGGTACACCGTGATTGTATATGATTAGGCCATGTTAAATAAATATCTCCGAGACTACTTTCTCAATAGAATGACGTGCAGTATAAGAAACACGACCAGACGTGACAATCTATCCAAAGTGTGATATAGGAATTGAGATTCCGCTGTGCCGAAATGCGGCACTAAACACATGCGTCATTTTAACCTGCGCCACCTCAACAACTACACCTACCTTGTAATTCACGCTAGCCCTCGAGATTAAGTACCTGTCATCATACCTTACTGTCATATAGTCAACTGTAACATACTTGCATATCTTCCCGTACATTTCACATACTATCATTCTGTCTAATTTTACAAGATATTATTGTGCATCTCAAGCTCACTTGCTGGTGCGGAGCGTGAAATGGTTCGACGGCAGGGTGTTACATAGTGTGACAAAAACGCGAACCCTTGAGACAATCAGACGATAACCCTCCGCTGGACTCAACTCTTCAAATCTCGAGAAAAAAAGTAACAGGCATTGTATTTTCGACATCAGGCTATCCAACGGTAAAAGAATTTTCGATTTTGGCCCAGACGTTGAGGAGCTAATGTCGTTGCAAAAAAAAAACGCGAACTCTGGTGACCATCTAGTACTACTCTCATGTATTTTCCGGCTATCTGTATCGAGTCGCAACCAAAATATGACTCAATATTAATGTCTCTCTGTCACTTCTCCACTCGCATTTACGACCTCCAGGGGACCCTCGCACCGTATCCGCACAAGCCTCACATGTAAATTTTGCACGATCTGAATCATCAACCCTGTTATTGTCTTCAAACGCTGTCATTTCATGTCTCTGTCATGCCGTCGTTCAAAGGTGTAGTTCACGCACTGCTCTGATCTTTCCGCTCAACGTAAATTTACACGCTTTAAATGTCAATATTGCTTTCACGGAGACCATCTCGAGCGACCGACTCCACAGCTAGGGACATCGGCTTGAGATTCATGAGATGAGTGTATGAAGAATAATATACAGGTTTTTCCGAACCTACCCATTCGCGAGCCCTTTCTCTGCGGCGACAACAGCAGTTTAGAACTTTCAACTGGTCAGACGAAAAAGTTTGTTGATGCCAGGATAAATAAATAAGAGAAAGTGGGTGAGTGCAGCGCTTATCCTTGACTCCTCGTCCCCCTAAATCCTCATCACTGTGTATGCCTGTAAAACGAGCAGACTCGATTTCAAACTTCGACAGGAATCATGATGATGATGCCTACTTAGGCGGAAGAAGATCTGAACAACCTGAAGACGACAAACAAGCTTGTGAGGCTACGAAGGTATCTATTTGCTGTCGACAGCAGCCTCTCTGAGAGTATGTTTCCAACTTATTGAATTGTTTATTCTGCACATCGAGAATTTTGCACAGGTTCCTACACAGACGGCAGCGGCAGAAGTCACGACCACGCCTCAAACCATGAGGCGATTTCGTACGCAGACGCAGATCAAGAGTTGTTTTAGATCATCTTATCGCTCCATGGCCGACATGACAAGAGTATCCATTCTGGATGACCTGCGACGCTGATAAATAAATATTCAGAAGAGGCAAAACACCTGTAACAGTATGCTTCGCAGCGGTCAGTGCTTGACTAGAATGTTCGGTGCTAAGACCGCTCGCGTTCTAGACTTGGACATCCACATTTCTGCGGCATCGCATTGTTTTGATATCGTGAGTGTTATTGACCACTCGGCAGCTGGCAGCGATGTGCGCCGACGCTTGGTGCTCAACTGTGGTCGCAACGTGTTTTGATTGTTCCACAGCGTACATCTCAGTGATCTCCACCGTCGTAATCGATAGTGGCTAGTCGCCATGATTACCCTGTGGGTGTTTCCAGACAATTCACAAATCGACGCTCCACAACTCATTGATATTATTTAAAGCGCGTTGTGGTCCTATCAAGGAACTCTTAAATACGCTCGTTGAATCGCTTCTTGGCATTTCCGTACCCTTCTCCTCATCATTATCTGTCGGGCAAGGTCGCTGAAATGTCGATAGCTCAATCTTCTTCCTCTTCTTCTGAACCTTCTGAACCTTATTCTAGCGCTGCATCCAACGTGCCCGCCATACAGTCTACCATTGTCGATGCTGGCATTGCGAATCCTCGCGTAGAGCTCCCCGATCTTCAACACCCTTCTGCCTCGGAGCCGGCCGACCCTCCAGCTGACCTTCCAGCACCTGCTCACGGTTTCACCTTCACGCACTCCAGCCCAGCAGAGATGGTCCAACCTACATCGGTGTCGTGCACGTATGGCCCCTTTCGTGTTTGGCGCAAGTTGTGCCAGGGCGGGTTTGCTGTGGCGATGGGAGCTCAAGACGTAACGTCGAATCGCTTGTTGTGTCTGAAGGTGTTTTCAAAGGACCGCTTTGAGCACAAATACGCGAAAGAGGTTATTCTTGACGAACTCGAAGCGTACAAGCGTCTTTCATGCGCGTTGCCGTGTCCTGCGGCTAGATTCCTCATGGGGCTCGAGATGTCTTTCCAGACCAAGGATAAAATATGTTTTGCAATGGTGCGTCCTCCTCCCCTGCGACTCATTTCAGTCATCTGACTCCATCGGATGTCTCTAGGACCTGATGGCGAGCGACCTGTATATTAATCTGAAACGTCGTCCTTCGTACTGCTCCCGCAATTCTCGCAGGTGGGCGGCGCAAATGGTAAGCAGTCGTCTTTCCTGGTCTTCGACATCTCACGTCTCACGCCTTTTCCGACTTCGAAGGCCCTTGGGATTAACGCTCTGCACGAGATAGGGATCATCCACCGAGACATCAAAGCCGCCAACATACTGATTGACGTTCGAGAGAACGTGCGCATCACCGACTTTGGCTTGAGTTATGTAGACAAAGACGAAGGACCCTTGGACCAACAGCGAAATTATTCTGCGGATGCGATGGGAACGACGCACACAATGGCACCGGAGGTCCTGCGCAACAGATCCGACCCCCGTCCTTGGGAGTACGGAGCACCCGCAGACTGGTGGTCGTTAGGCTGCGTCATCTACCAGCTCGTTTCGAAGAAGCACAAGGCACGTTTCGAGTCTTCTTTCGCTGCTATCTTACTGATATCATCTCGTCAGTCACTCTTTGTTACAGAGGATGACATATTTTCCTATGTTTCTTGGTGCTCCAGCCGCGACGAACCATCCAAACAATTCCCTGCCTTCGAAGATTTGGGTAAAGATAAGATCGCGAATTTGATCTCTGGGGTAAGCTTTTGTCTTGTTCGTTTTCCGGCACCATCACTCATCTTCACCGTGGTAGCTGCTGCAACCCGATCCGTCATCGCGGTTTGGGTTCGCTGAAGTGGTGAATCATAGATCGTTTTTGTGCAAAGCCGGCACGTCAGAATTCTTAGATGCATACTCTCGCGGTGAGTTAAAGCTGATTCGTCTGCGAACATCATGCTAAAAACGGATTGCAGCGCTTGAGCGCAAAGAAGTTCCATCTTCGCTGCCAGACTTACAACGTGGTCAAGACACTAGCACAGCAGAGATCTGGTTTCGCCAACCTTCCTGGGAGGAATCGCACGTTCCGGATGTGGACTGGGTCAAGCCGACGCTTTTTTCTTCCCTATGATGGCTCTTCAGTCCAGTCGGTGTTTATTTCGTTTCGATAGCTTCACTGTTCACTGTCACTACGTCTCCCTTCCTTCTTACAAATAATCTCATGTAAAATACGTCTCTTTGTTCCCTTTTTTGGTTCGCATACATCTCTCAGTATCAATTCATTATCTGTTCCATATCTCCCAGGCGGTAGTGGAATCGCCATAGGTATTCAAAGGTTTGAGTTTACAGTTGTATCCCGCAGAATCGACCCGACGCGAAGACTGCACTTTAGCTTATGGTCCTCTTGGTCCGACTTACCGTGCCCAAGAGTCAAACGGAAGCAAATGGCCACATCAGGGATCTCGCATGAGGGACTCATAGACATGAAATTGAATTTGACATAGAGGCTCCCATTGACATCGATTGGGGTTTTCTGGGGACAAATTCAACCGCTCTAGATCTCATCGAGCGTCACTGTTTTATTAATGGATTCCAGGCAGGAAGGCTGGCTTACTTCGTTCCGACAATTCACTCCAAGCCGTGGCGTGATTTACTCTGTACCTGATCAGTCATGCAGACTTGACTGCACAGGATTTCTTCCCCCAGGAGATGGGCGCAGGTGCTTCTGCTCCATCAATACCATGTTCCAGTTGTGGAGTGAGTCGTCGAGACAATGGACATCACTCAGTGAGGTTCTGAATCAGGTCCATGTATTCAAGTAGACTCAACAACGGCTACACTTCCAGTATCTACATGAGGTCGCTCAGCGCTGCCATTTCGGATCCCCCACTCTCCTTGATACCAATCTCCCAGTCTAAAACGCAAGGCGTACGTCAGTCAGTACGAACGTTCTTTTCGGGGAGGACAAAAGTACTCACAACTGTAGATGATTGTAACAGCCATCAGAATGCCTGTTCCACTTCCGATAGCACCCATGAGATCAGCAGCAACAGAAAGCAAGCCCAGGATAGCGCCTCCGAATGCAGCAGCGGTAGGAATAACGCGCTTCAGTTCCTTGTACATTGAACCCTCACGATGACCAGCCATGACCATTTGTTGGTCCTTGAGCTGTTTAGCGATCTCGCGTGGGCCACTACCAGACACTTCGATCCAGGTTTTTGAGAAGAGTGCGCAAGCAGAAACTACGAATGTGATGTAGAGGGATGTGTGGATGGGGTCCAGGAAGGCTTCTTTGATGGTGTGTGGGGGTGACATATAGTATGCGAGACCACCTACGGCGCGAAGCTGGGGAGAGTCCTCCAGAGGCTGTGATATACTTTTAGTGACAATTAAAAGTATCAAGTCATAGAATAACCAACCTCCCAGATGCCAAGAATCTTGACCAAAATGTTAGAGGGGAAGCGCGTTGCGAGCATTTGTGACACAATGAACACGTTTGATACAAGTGCGCTCTGGAGCATGATGGGCATGTTGCTAGTATAGAACAGCTTGACGGGGTAGCTGCCGCGCTGACCGCGGAATCTGTTGCTCTTCACGGGGATCTCGATGCGGAAGCCTTGCATATAGATGACAGCGGCAAACACGATGACAGTCGCAAGGAGGTTCATAATGTTCGGGAGTCTGTCACGCCAGAACGCCTCACGGAGAGCACGTCCCTTGTCATTCCACGTGAAGAGTAGGTGGAAGAGCGCGACGATGGCACCTTCAAACTCAGGGCCACGACCGGTGTTAACAGTTGTAGGTGAGAAGGCCTTCCAGATGATGGATTCGCAGATGTTGGTCGCGATGAAAAGGGAGATACCGGACCCAAGACCGTAGCCCTTCTGGAGAAGCTCATCGAGGAGAATAACGATGAGGGCGGCAGCGACAAGCTGAATGATGAGCAGAAGACAAACACCAGCACCGAGATCACTTGGTTGCCCGTAAAGACCTGTCAAGACGTATACGGTAGCGTGGCCAAGTGAAATGATCAAAGCAAACACTGAAACAAGCATCCGTCAGTAAGGTTTGCAAGTTGCCAAGTGACACGTACATTTTTGTGCACCGCTGAACAGTGCCCGGTCTTCCTTCAAGCTGAAGTCGACTTCGATCAAATTTGCGCCAGCCAATAGTTGCATGATCATTCCGGACGTAACAATAGGACTTATACCGAGCTCCATGAGGGTTCCACGGTTGGAAGCGAGGATGACACGCATCCAGTAAAGAGGATCAGACGAATCTGAAGACATGATGCCATATAATGGTACTTGAGAGCAGACCAAGAAAATGAGGAGTGTAACAGCGGTCCATAACAGTTTTTGGTTGAAAGGAACCTAAAAACGAAGGAAGCTGGTGAGTTTTGCATGTTATAACCTACAGACGCATGTATGGAACATACTTTGCGATCAGGTGAAGAAACCTCTGGCAGGAGTGGAAGGAATGGTCGGACAAGATTCAGAAACCGAACTGTATGCAAGTAAAGTCAGTAACAGTCAACTAACAGACTCTCTGTTTGAGACTTACAACCGCTCATCGTAGCTTGAAGTCCAGGAGCGGACAAGTGAAGAAGAAGTTTGTGATTTGGCAGGACTTAATGCAAACCGAAACTCCTTACGTGGCACATGACAAATAGTCACAAATACTTGAAATGGAACCAAATCATGATACAACAACCTCTAGGCTCCTATAGTAGCTGCTGCTTGATCTTTAGTCGGCCACCATTTATCCTGCCAGTGCCACAGTCTTGCAGTTCAAAAATCTGGATACGCCCTCATCGACTCCGAAGTGTTGCTTATTGCATATATGTGTATGCGAGGCTACGTTGCCAAAGGCTCGAACATACATTTATAGCCAGCCCGTCAGGACCGTCATAGTCTTCAGTTAGAGTCAGGTGATATCCAGCGTCAACTGTAGGGCCAACTGTCCTTACTTAAATACTGCCACTGTCGAAGGTCTCAACCAGTGCTAATATCAGCGAGGAGAAGATCGAGGGCTCAGGCGTGTGGATGACATTTGAGAGATTGGGGCTGGAATTGTGCGTTGATAGCTTCAGGACGTAGGCCATGAGGCTCATTGAATATTGAAGGCTGTCCGGGTCAAGGCCGGATTGCAGTTTGCAGATTAGCATAATTGGCCAGTGGTGAGATGGTTATCAGTCTGAATTGATACAGTGCTTAGTATTTGAACGCTTTCAGAAATGTTGAGGTGTACTAGCATCGGGATCCGGCAAAAAAATTGGAACGGCCGACTACATACCTTAACCTGGTAGCATTCATGCACCCACTTACCATGCAGAGGCCTGCGACGAGTCTGTACATATAGATCGACCACTTCAAGCTGAACTACGCTCGGAAAGCTAGAATTCGACTCCTCGTACTGATCAAGAGGAGCATGAACCCAAGTGCAGTCTTCACGTCGGGTCGATTCTGTGGGAGGAACCTCGCTTCGTGATCGTAGAAATTTGGGTTCGAAGATAAGGAGGGAATGTTGATGCAGAGACCCCTTCTTTAGTACTTTGTCAACGTTCGGATGGCGCGCTTTGAGTAGTAACGTGGCGTACTCAATCTGCTGAAGTCAGCTACATCTATAAACTCAAACCTTTAAATACCCATGCCGATCCCACCACCGCCTGGGTCTTGGGAGATATGGAACAAACAGCGAGTGAAAGATGTATGTGAACCAAAAAGGGAACCAGGAGACAGGTCCATTTTACATAAGATTATTTATAACAACATGAAGAATGAAGGGAGACGTAGTGACAGCGAACAGTGAAGCTATCGAAACGAAATAAACACCGACTGGACTGAAGGGCCATCATAAGAACGGAGAAAGAAGCGCCGGCTTGACCCAGTCCACATTCGGAACGCGCGGTTTCTCCCAAGAAGGTTGGCGAAACCAGATCTCCGCTGCATTGGTCTCTCGACCACATCGTAAGTCTGGCAGCGAAGATGGAACTTCTTTGCGCTCAAGCGCTGCAATCCGTTTTTAGCATGATGTTCGCAGACGAATCAGCTTTAACTCACCGCGAGAGTATACATCTAAGAATTCTGACGTGCCGGCTTTGCACAAAAACGATTTATGATTCACGACCTCAACGAACCCAAACCGCGATGACGGGTTGGGTTGCAGCAGCTACCGCGGTGAAGGTGAGTGATGGTGCCGGAAAATGAACAAGACAAAAGCTTACCCCAGAGATCAAATCCGCAAGAGCTTCATGTAATTCTTCAAAGGCAGGGAACTGTTTGGATGGTCTGTCGCGACTGGAGCACCAAGAAACGTAGGAACGTATGTCGTCCTTTGTAACAAAGAGTGACTGACGAGATGATATCAGTAAGATAGCAGCGAAAGAAGACTCAAAACGTGCCTTATGCTTCTTCGAAATAAGCTCGTAGATGACGCAGCCTAACGACCACCAGTCTGCGGGTGCTCCGTACTTCAAAGGACGGGAATCGGATCCGTTGTGCAGGACCTCCGGTGCCATGGTGTGCGTCGTTCCAGCCTCTTGCGAACAATAATTCCGCTGTCGGTCCAAGGGTCCTTCGTTTTTGTCTACATAACTCACGCCAAAGTCGGTGATGCGCACGTTCTCTCGAGAATCGATCAGGATGTTCCCGGCTTTGATGTCCCGGTGGATGATTCCCATCTCGTGCAGAGTGTTGATCCCAAGGGTCTTTGAAGTCGGAGGAGGCATGAGACGTGAGATGTCGAAGACCAGGAAAGACGACCGCTTACCATTTGCGCAACCCACCTACCAGAATTGCGGATGCAGTACGTAGGTTGACGTTGCAAATAACTATAAAGGTCGCTCGCCATCAGGTCCTAGAGCCGATGGAGTCAAATGACTGAAACGGGTCGCAGGGGAGGAGGACGCACCATTGCAAAACATATTTTGTCCCTGGTCTGGAACGACATCTCGAGCCCCATGAGAAATCTAGCCGCGGGACACGGTAAAGCGCGTGAAAGACGCTTGTACGCTTCGAGTTCGTTCAGAAGAACACATTTCCTGGCTTTGCGCTCAAGATGGTGCTTTGGAAAGACCTTGAGACACAACAAGCGATTCGACGCTACGTCTTGAGCTCCCATCGCCACGCCGTACGTGCCCTCTCCCAACGTGCGCCAAACACGAAAGGCGCCATACGTGCATGACACAGGCGTAGTTTGGACTACCTCTGCTGGGCCGGAGTGCGTGAGGGCGTAAGCAGGTGCTGGAGGGTCGGCTGGAGGGTCGGCCGGCTCCGAAGCAAAAGGGTATTGAAGATCGGGGGGCTCTGAGCGAGGATTCGCGATTCCAGCATCGACAACGATAGACTGTATGGCGGACGCGTTGGATACAGCGGTAAAATAAGGTTGAGAAGCAGAAGATTGAGCTGTCGACATTTCAGTGACCTTGCCTGACATATTATAATGAGGAGAAGGGTACAGAAACGTCAAGGAGCAATTCGACGAGCGTATTTAAGAGTTCCCTTGGTAGGACCACAGCACGCTTTAAATAATATCAATGAGTGGTGGAGCGTCGATTTGTGAATTGTCTGAAAACACCCACAGGGTAATCATGGCGACCAGATAAAGCCACTGTCGATCACGATGGGGGAGATCATAGGGATGTGCGCTTTGGAACAATTAAAAGATGTTGTGACCACAGTTGGGCACCAAGCGTCGGCGCACATCCCTGCCAGCTGCCGAGTGGTCAATAACATTCATGATATCAAAACAATGCAATGCCGCAGGAATGTGCATGTCCAAGTCTGGAGCGTGAACGGTCCTAGCACCGAACATTCTAGTCAAGCGCTACCGCTGTAAGGCATGCTGTTGTAAGTGCTTTACTTCTTCTGAATATTCATTTATTAGCGTCGCACGACGGACCACGAATGGGTATCTTCGAAAGAACCTGTACATTATTCTTCATATACTTATCTCATGAATGTAAAGTTGATGTCCCTAGCCGTGGAGGCGGTCGCTCAAGATAGTCTCCGCGGCAGCGGTATTGACATTTGAAAAGTATAAATGTATGTTAGCAAAAAGATCGGAGTGATGCATGGGCTACACCTTTGGACGACAGCATGACAGAGTCATGGAATGAAATGACAGCGTTTGAAGGTAATAACAGGGTTGATGATTCCGATTCAAACTTTACATGTTGGGGCTTGTGCGGACATGTCGATCATGTGGTCCCAGGGAGGTCGCGATTGCGAATATGAAAGTAACTGAGTCAATGAGTTATATTTCGGTTTCGGCTTGATACATAACAAGGTTGATACATGTAGAGCAGTAGGTTCAAAATGCTCTTGAACTAAGATTAGCATAAACTATGACACGCGAGAAAAAAAACATACGAAGGGTACTGACACAACAGACGCCCCGTCACGGTTCACCTGAAAGCTCTCGATCTGAAATCACAAGTGATGTGGGAGGTGGTTGAAATGCAGCGAGCGACGAACCAGAAGCTATAACGATAAAGACAAGGAAACAAGGAGCACGCATGATGAGGTTGCGGCTGACTCGGGCCGGCGAAAACCGTGAAACCTTTAACTCTTCTGCTAGGTACGGGAAGCATGACTAGTCCGACTCTCCACCGTGAGTTGCGGTCCAGCGTAAGAAAACACGATCACCATTTACCGCGGCCTGCCCTGTTCTCCCGTCGAATTTTCATGGCCTACGTACGGTGATATCTGCCCATCTTTTGTGGTGAGTATTTTCACTGACTTGGAGCCGCCACTTTCTGAATCCGAGCAACACATTAACAGGACGCAAGTCTGCATCTAGTTTGCATAGACCTCGCGCAGAACGATCAAATCCTGCATTTTCTGAGATTATCAAACTCTCAGCCTCCAACTTGGAGTTCAAGGACCGTTCACTTGACGAGGGCGAGCAGGATGACGGAGACGAGTTCTCTCTCCCTGGACAAGAAACCCTCGTCAGTCTGATCACGCTTGTGAGCAAACGACTGTTTCGGTGACTTGACTTGCAAATTCTAGTCTATGTGAGTATTTCTAAATCATATTCCATGTTCAAGTTAACTGTCACCGGCGAGTTGGTCTTGTTGGTTGTGTAGTCGCTTTTCAGACACTGGAAATGCATGTGAAACGGTGAGGCAAAACTTTTCCATGGCATCGCTCAAGTTGGTGGCCATCGGTTCGCTGGCCTTGTCGGTGCCGGTTGTGTAGTTGCTGCATATCTGCTTTGTGGACATCGGAAACGTATGTGAAACGGTGTGATAAAACTTTGTAGGTGAGCAAGTATGGGTAATGGATATTGCTTTGGAAGTAACCTCACTGATGTCATTTGAACAGACCCTGTGACACCACAGATCATATGATATCGAACGCGAGATTTATAAGATCTCACCGCATCCCCAGTCGTGCCTGAAGCAGCTTGCATATAAGAGCGACTGTCCAGCCAAAAATTTATTAGGCAATTGAAACAACTACACCGTGTACGTTTTCGTTGCCCTATCCCTTTGCTGCTAGATCTAACTATTAACATTCCGGTGCAACCATGGTTCATTTTATACTGGCCGTTTCCTTGCTCCTCGCGCTTGGCACTGGAGTTAGTGCAAATTGCGAGGTCCGTCCTAATTGCGATTACGAGCAAATCAGTATTGAGCAAGGGAATGCATGTCTTAACTACTGGACGTGCTCAGGCGATACTTTCACGTGCTATTACCCTTCTGATGCGAATCCGGGAACGTGGAATGGCTGCTCATATAGTGCATCGGCCGTAAGTAACTGTCTGTTGCAGCAGTGTATGTACACTCACTGAAATGCCAGGATTGGGCACTCACAGCTGGCCCCACTGAGATCTGTACTGCGGAAGCGGGAGTGAACCCGAAATGTGAACCTGGTAATGACTCTTACGACATTGGCGAACAAGGTTGCAGCGCTTCATATGGGTTTGTCAATGAAACCAACAGTTAGCTGTTGTAAAGTGAATGGGTTGAGTTGAAGATCCTGGGGCAGCATAGGCTACCTCTACCTTGACACAAGTTCACGAGATGCGATTTTTGGTTGTTTATTTTTGCTTATTATCTGTCTACAGTATGTACCGTGTCTAATGATTCCTGCTTTGTACGTGGTGGGTGACTGCTCTGAGCGAGAACGAAGACGCCGACTGAGAATGGTAAGGAATTACAAATGAGTGAGTATTACTTATTCATCTCTTGGTTTGGGTGACATCTCCAAATGACTATTCCAGTTTTTTTGGTGTGTGCTATATATATATTTGAATAGGGCTCCATGACGGTTGCTGAGGCCTGACATCACCAAAAGTCCAAAAACCTGACGCCACCTGATTAGGGATTCTGGTCCTGTGGTTGTCTAGCTCATGTACGGCGAGTACAGATCACCAAATATCACTTTCATATTTACAATCAGGCTGAATCATGCAATAGATGGAGAATGTGTTAGAATCAGTGCTGTCGGGTACGTCGGGATCAGTACGAGCGCATCCGTTGTGACATCGGCCGAGTATGCTCCTCCGAATGTCTTAAAGCAATATCCTTTTTTCTTTCCTATTCTACCCGTACTTAAAAGCTACACCCAAGCAGTAGACATCTCAGTTCCCTTCCGGATACTGAGATGTATGTTCTATTATTTTCCCGTCTCTCGATAACGAGCTAACGCGCACTTAGAATATATTCGTTTAGGTACTACCTACTTACACAAGAGTTCCCTTCCGGATACTGAGATAATATATTCGTTTAGCTCTCTCCCGTCCTCTGTGCTCGACTCGACTCACTAGAGGTTATGAGCCCTGCGCCGGCCATGGAATCTACGCTCCCCGGTACCAACTCTGCCCTATTCAACATCCCAAAGCTCACCGATGATGGGAGCAATTGGATAACCTACAAGGAACGAATGTTGACGGCCATAGGTGCCTGAGGTCTGATGTGATTTGTCGACGGTCGTGCGATAAAGCCCAAACCATTCGCTATTGACCCAGCGACGAGCACCCCAAAGAAGCCTGATGGCTCTATGTCCACACAGACGGAGATCGAAGAGTTAGATACAAAAATAGACGAGTACTACCAGAAGAACTCACTGGTTAAACAACATATCTTCAGTACCGTCACGGACCAGCTCCTACTCCGCGTACAGAAGCTCGAGGAGGTGTCCACCATCTGGGCTGAGGTCTGCTGCATCCATGAAGGCAAGACCGAATTGGTGCAGATAGATCTGCGCAGGCGTCTACATGAGACCAGGTGTGACGAAGGAGCTGATGTGAAAGCTCACTTTTCAGAGCTGTTAAGGCTCAGAGAGTCCTTAGCAGGGATGGGGGCAGCATTGGACGATCGAGACTTCCAGGCTATTATCCTAGGTTCCCTCCCTGAATCATATCGACCTCTACTATCGTCAATTAACGCTGCGTCCAAAATTGCAAAGAAACCACTCACCCCTTACGAGCTTATCAGCGTAGTCAGCAAGGAGTTTGAGCACCGCCAGATCACCGACTGTCGTAGCACAAAGAAAGGCGCATCTAGCGCATTCTCTGCCAAAACAGGCCAAGCCAAGGGCAAGAGCCCGGCGAACAAGAGCGAACCTAACCCTGATATCACGTGTTTCAACTGTGAAAGAAAAGGGCATTACAAAACCGATTGTTGGAGGCCTGGAGGAGGCAAGGAGGGTCAGGGTCCTAATCAAAAGTCGAGGAGAGGAGGATGCAGCCAAAAGCATTCTGCGAACGCTGCCACTGATGAACCCCCCGATTCCTCCGAGAACTTTGCCTTCGCTTCGTCAGACTTAGCGAGCGTCGCAGAACAGCTGAACGTACCGAAGGAACGTCGAGGAGCCATAATCGACTCCGGGGCAAGTGCTCATTTCTGCCCGGATCGAACGAAGTTCGAGAATTTTGTATCCATCCAGCCGCAAGATATACACACAGCTGATGGAACAAAAGTGAGTGCTGTTGGGAGAGGGGACATCAAGTTAGAGTTTCCGTTGGGAGAAAAACGCACCGTTGTTACTCTCCGCGACGCTCTATACGCCCCCCAGATGGCCTTCACGTTGGTCTCAACGAACCGTATCACAGCTGCTGGGCTAGCTGTCCATTTTGAAGGTACCATGTGCCGGATTCTTTCCCCAGGGCCTAAACGCTGTGTGATCGCCGAAATTCCTCAGGTCGAAGGACTGTACACAGTCCTTGCACGTCAGACCCACCGAGCGAATCTAGCCAATGCAAAACTCACCGTATGTGAATTGCACAGGCGGCTGGGACATGTGTCCCAGCATGCTGTCCTGGAGGCGTTAAAGAGAGGCCTGGTCACCGGTATCGAGGTGGACACCACATCCAAACCGGAATTCTGCGAAGCCTGTACCAAGGCTAAAGCTACACGTCACCCGTTCCCAAAGGAGAGTGGGACCCGCGCCGAAAAGTATGGTGACGTCATTCACACCGACTTGTGGGGCCCCGCACGAGTGCAGAGTCTAGGAGGCTGCCTGTATTACATGAGCTTCACTGATGACTACAGCTGTCAGACGGTTGTACACTTCCTCAAGGACAAAAGCCAGGCACTTACCTCCTACAAGCAGTATGAGGCCTGGCTAACTCGCCAAAACGATGGTGCACGCATTAAGACCTTGCGCTCTGATAGAGGGGGCGAGTATTTGAGCGAGGAGTTCGATAAGCACCTGCGGACGCAGGGCATCGAGAGGCAGCTGACGGTGCATGACTCTCCTCAGCAAAACGGTGTCGCCGAGCGCCTGAACTGAACACTCGTCGAACATGCGCGCTGACCTGCACCAAACTGGTTCGGTGCATGGATGACTGATACTCTCCTATGAGCCCTATGCCCTATGAAATCATTTTCTCTATGATCTGAAGTCAGACTGAGGCTAAGGGAATATTTTTCACCTTTCTTTTTATTTTTCAAGTGTGTACATAAGCAGCCTGAATATTTTAGTACATTTAATTTTGCGATGAGTTTTGCTTAGTCAGCCATGGTGATGACCCAGACAAAATCCCACGCCTGTCAGGTGACTGTGAAAAATATTTCCCACATATGTTGTCCTGGAAAAACATTAGTAAAACCCTAAATACTAAGCTCGCGTCATTTTCACTCATCAAACAAAACAAAGAAAAGACAGACACACAAAGGATCCACATCATGTGACATTTCTTACTCTCTTTCTGGATTTGTCATCAGGAGTTGGATAGGTCACATGACTTAGCACAATACCCATATGACTCACTATGACTCACTCTGAATATATGACTCCTTTTGACTCTTGATGACTCTTGAGTATACTAGTAGCACAGCCACATTTATTGTGTATATAAAGACCCCAGTTTCTGAAATAATACCAAGCAACTTTTAGTGGGAGTTTTCAGCCCATCTAACATTAAGTTGTGAGTAAGGTGTGATAAGTGTCAGCATCAGTGTCAAGAACTGTTCAAGACTGAGAGGAACATTCTCAAGAGACAGTAATACTGCAAGCTCATCATACTAAACGACTAGCTGTGAGCTCACTGTGTGCAACAACCAGCAAGCAAGGTACAGCCACAGTTTTATTCAAATTTCTATTTTCTTTTTCTTTTCTTTTCTCTTCTGTTTTACTTTCACCAGCCTTTGGTGTTCTTTTTCCAAAAAGCATATTCCAAAATATTCGTGTTGTCTCTACGTCCACCTAAGACTCAGAGTAGCTTAGTGGGGAGACTTAAGGGATTGATAGTGAAGCTTGACCTCACTCATCTGAGTAGTGATACTGAGCCAAGATATTCTGTGCCTGCTAGGCTTTAGCTGTTGAAGAGGGGACTTGGTAGTAAATCCAAGGACGTCCGTTCCTGAGTCTGTTTGAATACTCAAAGTGAGTTCCTTGACAGCAGGTTCAATATTGAGCTAAGAGTTCTACAATAAAGCATTGGACTAGTCTTGACCTTTGATTCTACCTGTTTTGTGCTGAGGGGGTTGATCATTGTAATTCCGCACCATTCTTTTTGGAGTACAGTTTGGTAAGAGGCCCTGTTGTTGAAAGGAAGCTTGAGGAAGAACTTTCTATTTCTTTGGTTACTGCCATACTGTCGGGCTGACCATTATTTGTTTGTTTGTTTGTTTCTGTCAAGTCCATAGATTGGATTGACCATCGTATTTACTGATCTTGCAGAAATATCTTTAGCTGAACGTACTTTGGGTAGTATACAACTAGCCACCCACGAACGACCACGTTATCAGTCATTGGTACTTGTCTGAATCACTGACCGTGGAGATATTTGTTTTTATAGGTGTTTATCTATAGATCATCTATCTAAGAAGACAGCGCGCGATGCTCTTGGCGCGAAACTTACCCAAGTTCCTATGGGGAGAAGCGATCAGCTACACGACTTGGCTCAAGAATCGCTTACCTTCGTAGGCGACCCCCGGGCACACACCATACGAACTGGTGACGGGACAACATCCTGGCCTTGAGCTTGCTCACGAGTTTGGCACCCCGGTGTTTGTCCACCTTCAGGGTACCGGGAAGTTAGATGCTAGGGCGGAGGAGGCCGTGTTTGTTGGTGTTGACCACCAGAGCAAGGCCTACCGGATCTATTGGCCCCAGAGGAGGAAGGTTTCAGTGGAGAGGAATGTGGTGTTCGTGCCAAAAGACACATCAGTGGCGACGGACGTACCGGACGAGGGGGAGTCACACCCATCAGCAGCAACAAAAGGACCCCAAGCTGCAAGTACCGTCCAGAACGCCTTGCCCCCCGCACCTTCTACTCCTCCTATGACACCCAGAATCCTTCTACCGCCACCAGCGCCTCGCCCAACTCGTGTAACCTACCCACCAGGGTACTATGCTGCATTGAACAACGGCGAATTAGCGACTCTAGCTGCTGAAGCGGAGCCTGAGCCGGCAACAGAGGAACCGGACGAACGACTCACCCAGCTATACGCCCTGGTCGCAGTAGAACCAGAACTGACACTCCAACAAGCCCTCAATGGACCAGACACTGAAGAGTGGAAAGAAGCTATAGGGTATGAGTTGAGTCAATTGGAGAAGTTGGGCACGTGGGAACTTGTAGATGCACCGGCAGGTGTGAACCTCATCCCATGTCACTATGTCTTGGCGACCAAACGCGGTCCGGACGGCGAGAAATTGAAAC